ACAGAAGAGACATGGGGAAAGGAGACAGAGGGAGGACCACAGATCTGGCCACACCTGGGAGGGATGGTCTGAAGATGAGAAGGAAGCCTGAGTTTGGGGAATTTACTGAAATGACACAGAAAGGAGGTGGTGCCTCAGCCGCTATTTCACCCCTGCAGAAGAAGGGAGACCCAGGAGCAATGGGGAAAAGCCATATCCTCTCTCCAGATGGAGACCCTTTGTCAGGCTGATGGAACCACAGGAGAGAAGCCTTGAGATAGCAGCTGCTGTGGACATAAAGCTGGTCCAGACTGAGAGATGGAAAGACGACCTTGAGAGAAAGGAGAAACAAAATTGAGCTAGCAGGTAATGTCTAGTGTGGGGGCAAGGGGAGGGGCAGGTGAGGAGGAGGGAGAGAGCAGAGAGGGAGGGAACAGAGAGGGATCCAGACGGTGGAGGGGGAAGGCAGAACTGAGTTCCCCTCCTGTCTGTCTGCTTTCCTCTTTCTAGCTGAAAAGCAAGGACACAGAAACACAGACACTGGCCTGTGGGTGTTGGGCAGTACGCCTTCTGGGGTGCAGAAGTTGGGAGCAGTGTGTCCTTAAGCCCTGGGGTTTCCTGAGCTGAGACCCACAGAAGCCACCACCATTGCATTGCCTCACGTGCTCCATCAGGATGCAGACCTGAGGGTCTTAATTCTCCAGCCTGGAAATTCTCCCCACTGCTTGCTTTGTAAAGATCTCTTGGTTAGGGAGTGGGGAGTGGGGAGTAGGGGTGGGCAAGGTAATCCATTGCTCCCTAGCATGGGACAGGATTTCTCATTTCTTCTGCAGGAATGTCCCTTACCTCCCCTAGTCTTTTTGTGAATGTTAAGTCATCTTTTGTTTATCTCTTGAAGGAATCACTTGGTCTCCAATGTTCTGTCTTTAAAATAAGCATAATAACACCTTCTTCACAGACTTGTTGGGAATACAAATCTCATCTCATATTTATGAGATCTGTAAAGTGCACATTTATAGCATAAGCCTCAGAGATTGTTACTCAGGGAGGAGCCTCAAGGGAAAAGGAAGCAGGAAGGAAGTCTAGGCAAGGTCACAGTAAGGAAACACTGCCTGGTTCCTGAAAGGATTTAGCTCCAGCCCTTCTAGTGGCCCTTCTACCCTCTAGTCCCACCAGCCTTCTCCAGCCCTGGGCCCAGCTGGGCCTAGCTGTGGAGTTGAGGATGGGCATGGGGGGTGGGGCGGGCAGTCACTGCACACTAATGCTGGCCTCTTCACAACCTGACATGACACTCACAGCCTGCAGCCTGGAGCCAAAACCATTCTGAAGGCTGAGGGGTGCTGCGGGTGGCGGGCTTCTCCCCTCAGGGTTGTATGATGACTACTAGGGAGCTGCCCTGGTGCAAGGGCCCTGCCAAGGTCTCCAAAGCCACCAAGGTGGAGCATAGGTGGACCTGCATGAGTGAGGCTGGGAGAGTCACGGTGTCTTCAGTGAGGCATCCTGACAAAGGATAAAGTCCTTTGCCCCATTTGCTATCATGGCGCCATTTGCTGAGCAGACCTGTGGAACGTGACGGCCATTTTACTCTTCTGAGCTTGTGCCCCCAGGACTGGAAATCACTGGAAGCAAGAACAGAACTAATTGCTCCCACAGCCACAGGCAGAACAGACCATTGGAACAAACTGCAGCCTCTGTCACAACGCCCCGAAAGCCCAGGGCCACAGGACAGCACCCCCCGTTTTAATCCAAAGACGATCCAGTAAAAGCTCAAAGCCCCCACCCCTCAAGCCTGGTGTATCATCTCCACACCATGCCTCTTGCCTTCTTTCTTCTTTCTTCTTCCATGCCTCTTACTTTGTTCTCTTTGTGAATTCTTTCAGAGGCTGTGTCACTGACTACCCTAACACTGACTAGACCCATGGTCTCCTCTTCTTTGCTTGCTCGTGTTTTACTTTAGAGCTAACTCACATCTTTACCATTCTGCAAGACAGAGGACCTTACTCCAGAAAAAGAGGTGCTCTCTACTGTCCCTACCAGGTTTCCAACCCTGACTCCTTTAGGTTCCTGAGAAATAAGAGCCCTAGCTCCTTCATGTCCGGGTGTGACAGCTGCTGGGAGCCAAGCTTGATTTCCCTCCTCATGTCCCTCTCTGGGTCATGGGAGGTGCCAAGGGATAGATGCTCTCTGCAGAATTTCTTCAGGGAGGTGGCCAGCAAGGCCATTCTCTCTATCTTTGGGCTTCTCTAGATCAGAATGGAAGATTAGTCAGGAGACAGCTGCACAGAGGAGCAACCAGGGCCTGCCTCCTTAGACTGGGCTGGAAAGAAGTGCCCATGTTGAAGTGTGGTGTGACAACAGGACTTAGGGCAAGGGTGTCAAACTCATTTTCACTGGGGGCCACATCAGCCTCTCAGTTGCCTTTAACGGGGTGAATGTAATTTTAGGATTGTATAAATGTAACTACTCCTTAACAGTTAAGTGAGAGCTTGGTGCTGCCATCGGGTAGAAAAAGGTGCCAGTCTGGGTTAAAACAAGGTGGAGGGCTGGATTCAACCCTCAGGCCTTGTGTTTGTCACCTGTAACTTAGGGCCTGTGCTCCAACTGGCCTGGGTTTGAATTCAAGCTCTGCCACTTACTAGCTGAGTGAATTTGAGCTACTTCCTTTTCATAAGAGTGTTTCTCACCTGCAATATGGAGATAAGCATCCCTGCTCTCTAGAGCTATTGTTGGGCTTATATGAACTAATGGCATACAAGCTTCCATTATAGGGTCTGGCAAATTCCTGGAGTCCAGGAATTGTTAGTCTTTTTATCCCACAGTAGGGCAAGGGTCAGATGACTTTCTGTATGCAACACAGTTTAACCACAAGGCATAGGACCGTGATGTGGTTTTTGGCACCCAGGAGCTCCAGTTCTGAAAAATTTCCCCCCTTTTTTCCATTAGATTATTTCAACAGGGTTTCTTTGGGGATTTTGAGGCTATCAGCTGTATTTGCCTAGGCCTTACTGTGATGTAATATAGCAGTATATGGAAAAAGATTATGTGAAAGAGGATAAGACTAGTGGATATAACAGACAAGAGGGAAAGAGAGATGCTGAGCCCTACTGTTCTGAAATTCTACTGTTCTCTACTGTTTTAAAAGGCAAAATGAAGCTATTGGGTCCTTGCCCTCCCCATCCTCACCTGGGCCAGGGGTCTTGGAATCCTTGGATCTCTAGGAGGGAGTATGGGCAGCACAGCACCTGCAGGAGGGCACAAGGGCACCTCTCACCACCTTCAAGATTTCCCACTTCCAGTTTGCACTCTGTGGGGCAAGTCTTGGTCCAAGTCATATGAGAGTTGGGGAAAGTGTTTTATCTTCTTTAGTTCTCTCTTTCTTCCTTCAAGGAAAGTGATTAATCCCTGACTTGTCTTCTTAACGAACTGTCCCAAGGATCCAAAGTGCATGGAGAGGTGCTAGACAGAGGCAGGGGAGGCAGATGAGTGGGTTCCCTCCTATGTGGGCAAGACACACCTGTGCATCCAGGCTCAGGGACTACCTGGGACCTTGAGTGGTTGTCTTGGCAACTGGCTTAGATGTCAGTTCTTTGATGTGTTCTGGGCCCTTAGACTTGGTCTACTCCTATAAGCTCTCAGGGTGTTCTGCATATTTCTCCTATAGCATTTATCATGAGTAGAAAGGTGTGGTTATATGTGTGATTGTTTAACACATGTCTTCCACACCAGACTCTAAGCTCCATAAGGAATAGGAGTACATCTGTTGCATATCTTCTTTTTTTTAAAAATTTGTTTCAAAGATTTTATTTATTTATCTTTAAAGGGGAAGGGAAAGAGAGAGGGAGAGCAATATCAATGTATGTTTGCCTCTCATGCATCCCCTGTTGGGAACTGGCCTGCAACCGAGGTATGTGCCCTTGCTGGGAATTGAACCGTGGTTGTTTGGTTTGCAGGCCCACCCTCAATCCATTGAGCTGCACCAGCCAGGGCTGCTGCATACCTTCTTGTCACCAACATGTAACACAGTGCCTGGCACATGGCAGAGGTGCTCCATAAAATCCTTGCTGAATGAGGAAATGGACTGCCTGCCTCAAGTTAACACCCATGACAAGTGCTTATCAGTTACATTCCCCTTAACCAACATCTCATAAGAATCATAAGAAGTCAGAGAAGGGTGACATCTCCCCTCCTATTATAAGTGGAGGAGCAAGTTTGCTAGCTCAGAGTTGCCCCTCTTCCCATTCTGCCAGGACAGCAGGCCTAGCCTACGATGCAAGAAGGTTGCAGGTGTTACTGCTCTACGCATTTATCTTTTTGCAAGGCTGCCCTCTGGTGGTTAGCCATGGAGGAGAGCATGGGAAGGATGGGAACCCATGTGGCCAGCAAAGGCTGGCTGATCCCTACTCAGAGACTGGCCAGTGAGCCAGGAACTACAAGGAGGGCTCCCAGGTGAAGAGTCATGTCACTTCTCTGTTCTTATGAACAGCTTCCTCAAAATCTAACAGGAAGCCCTGGCCTTGGAAGGGCAAGAAATTAAAGAAAGCCTCACAGAAACCCCACCCTTCCCCCAGGAGTGGTCTGGGGGTAAGGCTACTTTAAATAGCTACTCTTTCTCCTCAGTGCTGGCTAATACTTAGCAACCAGCTAAGTAAGTAAGTAAGTAAGTAAGTAAGTAAGTAAGTAAGTAAGTAAGTAAATATTTTAAAAATCCCAATAGGTAGCATTTACTGATTTCTCTGGTATAAATCAGAAATTGTTCCACCATGGACCATTTCAAATTATTCATGGCTGCAAGCAGATCTGGGAAGACATGAGTGGACGTAATATGTCATTACATAGTATTTTTATTGTACAGACCCCATGGGCACAAATTGGCTCAAAAACATGGTTAATAGTAAAATAACAGGGAAATGATGAGTTTGAGTATTTATTACATTTGTCTCTAACCTGATATATTTAATTGAGTTTATATAATTTAATTTTTTAACAATGGCTGTGTTTAACAAGTAACTGGCTTGCAAAAATCTGGAAAATTTAATAATTTGTTCTTATTAGGCTAGTCGTAAGAGTTGGCTCCGGCACATCACTACTTCTTCCTTCTCTTTCTTCTCTTCTTCCTCTCCTATGACTTCCCTGGCATTCCATGTGGCCAGGAAGGGTGGGAATATGGGAAAGAGTTTTGCTGCAGACACTGCTATTCTCTGAACCAGGAGCCAGAGACTGTTAAGGAAAGAGAATGAAGAAATACAAATTTGGCTTCTGAAGGACACTTCAGAGTGTGTGTTGGGTGAGGGGGGGCAGTGGGGGCAGTTGATGATTTCTGAAACTAGAGCATGAGGCTGATTAACACCTGGAACAAAGTCTTTTGGAGGATATGCCTTTGGTGATCCTCCAGGAGCCAACACCTAGGGAGAGGCAGGGGAGAGCTAGGAGAAGTGGCCCGTAGGGAGCTGTGGCAGGCAGAAGTAGGCGCCGGTGAAGAAACCCAGGTTGATGCCATCCAGGTAGTAGTCTTCCGGCTGTCTCTGTGTCTGCTTGTGCTCATCCTCGTCACAGAAGGTGTCACTCTGCATGGTTACTATTATCTTATTCTGGAAGGAACATATCAACAGTTGCACTGAAGTCTCAATCAGCTATCCATACCAGTTCTGCTCCCCTTTATAATTGGAGAAACCAAGGCACCTAAGGCCAAGACCATCCAACAAGGGGTGAGAAAAGGAGACACATGGAGGGAGGGTGAAGACAGAGGGATGAAGGGAAGAGGAGGAGCTGGGGCTGGGGTGGGGTTGGGGGCAGTGAAGAAAAGAGGAGAAGGAACGGGCAGTTGAGATGGGATAGGGATGTGGAGGGAGAAGAAATGTTTTAAAGAGAAGAAAGGGGAGGAAATAAAACTAAGGCTGTAAAAAATGACCTGGACAAGCCCGACTTACCCATGTCTCCCACAGGCTCTCAGAGAAGACTGCACTACTGCCCAAGTTTCCCTCTATGGGAAACTTGCACTCTGTGCTTTATGGTCTGTGGTTGAAGCTCTTGGGAAGGCCACTCACCTGCAGGTGTAGTGAACACAGGCTTAGGGGGAGGGGCCCTAGGATGAAATCCAGCAAGTTGCCAACCAGGTAGAGGAAATGCAGCTTTTCCAAAGCCTGGGGAGGGGTAGGGTGGGAAAAAGGCAAAGGGTGTGGGACGCTGGTGAGCCCTGAAAGAGTGGGGTGCCTGATGTGACCCAATTCCTTCATGTAGGGCCTCCTGAGCCTCTGCCATGTGCCAGACTCCACGATGGGTTTGGAAAGTGTGCCTAGACTCTCAGGAGCTTGCTTGCTGGCTGCCAGTGGATGCAGAAGGAAAGCTGCTACCCCTGGGGGCAGGTGCAAGGGCTGCCTGCTGCTAGTGAGAGTGCGGAGGAGCCAGAGAGGACAGCAATGGGGATGGAAGGAGGGCAGGGGACATCTCAGCTTGGCCTCAACTTCTCTGCTATCAGAAGGGATTTTCCCAAAGGAACAGTCTCTGAATGCTAAACTGGGGCAGCTGTGGAGACTGTGTTCCAGAAATTTCCAGATCAACAGAATGAGAGCCACAGACACACGAGGCAAACTGAGCATGCATGGTGGCAGAGCTGATGTCAGTCTTATCAATACCCCTCTTCTTTCTTCATGGAAACTGTCCCCTACTCCATCTGCTCAGCCCTGTGGACTGGGCAGGTGCACAGGCCATATTAGTACCATATGTTAGCCCTTCCCATCAAAACTGGCCAGTCAGTGACCAAGCAGATGGTCTCACTTGAGCATTTGATCACAGAAAGGCAACAATTAGTTAGTTAGTGGTGGGATCTGGAACTACAGGGAGTTGTAGAGTTAGGGCAGGAGACAGCACTATTGCGTTTCAGGATAGCAGAGCTGTATGTTCAGGGTGGGCAATGGAATGTGTGCACAGAAAGAAGCCAAGAATCGGCATGTCCCAAAGATGGAGGGGAAGAATGTTGGACCTTGGTTTCTGACACTGTCCCACCAGTAACAGGCCCAGAAGGCCTGAGTTTCCTTTCATGGAGGTTCTTGGGATGGCATGTTGTAAACACCATTTTTCATGAGTCAGAATCAGGTTCTTGCAACTAAAAGAATCTTTAATAAAACAAATGTGAACATACAAAATAGTGAGTTTGAGTTTCAGGCCCCAGAACTGGGTTGGAGCATGGATATCTCATGAGGGCAAGGTGTGAGTGTGGTTGTGAGTGTGGGTGGCAGGTGGTCTATGGTGGAATGAAGGTCCCAGCTCATGCTGAAGACTCTAGGCTTTATCCCCCAGCTCTGGAACCAATTCAGGCAGATGTCCAGGACCTCCATGCCTGTAAGGAGCTTGGGCAGGGCTGCCAGCTGGTTATCTGGGAGGATCAGATCCCTGCAGACAGCAGGTAGAGGGCATTGTCATTGATGGAGGAGATGAAGTTGCTAGAGAGGTCAACCCTCTTCAGTTTTGCTGAGGGGTTTGAGGGAGAACAGAGAGACACAGGATTCATCATTTTTTCCTGCTCTTACAAGGGCTACCAAACCCTGCTCTAGCCCTCTCAGGATAGGGAATGACAACCAACAAGTGACATTTGTTTATATTTGCTGGGGCCCGCAACCAGTTTTCCAACTGTACCATGACCACACCAGAAGAAATGTCATAAAGCAGAACCCCCTGGGAAAGCCCTCAAATTCTGTAACATCCTTCCCTAGAGCTCTGTCCTGCAAGGTGGCTGCCCACTTTGGAAGAAATCTTTCAAGGATCCATCCCACCTCTATCCTCCACCATTAAGTTTATGCAAAAAGAAAGCTGTGGCAATTAGTAGCAGAATCTGGATTAGAGCCCAGATTTCCTATTTTAGACAGGATGTAAGGCATAAAAGAGCAAACAAACAAATAAACAAGTAACCACATAAATAGCATCAGTGTCGTGGTGAATAGATTTAGCATGGTCTTGTCTAGAGGCTGGCAGGTGCACAGAGCTACAGCTGCTAGGACACTCTGTAAATGTAGGCTTCGTCATATATTCATTCCCCTTCCCAGTTTTCCAGCTTTTGGGAGAATAAATGAAAACAGGTCACTTCTGTCATCTAACATCTTCTAGGAAAGGAATTAGAAAGATGTGGGGTTATACCCACTTAATAGCTGGACAGACTGAAAGCTAACAGGAAAAGGCTAACAAAGGTGAGGACCTGTGTCTAGTGACTGCTCACATGGCTAGGTGGCAAAAGAGTACCCCAGGGGTTCCCTCTGCTGGGCCCATGTTCCACTCTTGCCAGGGCCTTACATACTCAGCCCTTTGAAGTCTCTGGCCTGGATTTGGTGGATGTAGTTGAAGCAGTTGTACAGGTAGGTAGTTATCTGGGGGAAGACGAGGGATGCTCTCTAGGTCAGTTGCAGCACACAGAGGAAACAAGGCACATGCAGACCAGACAGGTGGGGAGGCCTGGCCCAGAAGAAAGACAGAATAAAGGGAGAAACCCCCATCATCAGACCCCTTCAGCTTCTGGGACCAGTGGACCTTGCCTCAGGGGAGTATCTGATCCAGGACCATCTGTGTCCTGTTGGGTTTCTGCCCAGCACTGTCACAGTGTATCCAGGTAGCGTTGTTGGATGCTCCCAGCCTTGCACTCAGCCCTTGACCTAAAAGAACCAGATCCACCCTCATATATGACCAAGTACAAGCCCATTAGTGCCTGCATCAGAACCTGGTCCGATGTAGACTTTCCTGGACCTACATGGGTGATACTAGGACATCTATTGGTGTCTTTTCCATGGGGCTCCTCTCTGGTCCCACAAGGTACAATGAAGATGAAATAATTAAGTGCCAGCTGCCTTGTGGGTAAGTAGATACATTCTGTGTGGCTCCCAGAAGCATAGCAGAGTCAAGGTGAAGTGGACGGTGCCTGCCCAGAATTTATTTCCCTTTGTTACGGTGCCAGCATTCCAGTTTTCCACTGGGAAAGAGCTCTCTGCTGTTCTCAGTTCATGGCCAGTGATCATGAGAGTTGGACCAGGCCATCAGATTCTGACTGGCTTTAAAAATTTCAGGTACTTTACTGGCTTCTACAACTGCACAGTGCAGGTAGTTTCCATCACTTGCTATTACAAGGGACAGAGATTATGAGAGATCACTGCTAGTCCAGTCCAACTCCAGGGGCCCTTTGTCAGCAGTGACATGGCCCCAAGATGAAGAGGCAGCTCTTCTCACCAGCAGAAATGGAAGAATATAGATGGAGCAGAGAGGGCCCCAGCACCCTTCTTATTACAAGGCCTTGAAATGGCACCTCCAGTGGAAACCATTATGATACCTTTGAGGCTGGCATTCTGTAACTCTGAGAGGTCATGGATTCCTGACTGAAGGGTTTTCTCTGCTGAGGCCCCAATACCCTAGATACACCCGAGGCAAACATCTCAAGATAAGCAAGTGGGAATTAACTATATCCCTTCTCCACCTCAGCTCTGACCTGCAGGAGGGTGTCAGCCCCTTGCCGCCAGATACATCAGTATCCCAGGCTCTAGGAGGGAATCAGGGAGGGGAAGGGAGCTGCTCAGGAGGGAATTAAGAGCTGAAAAGCAGTATGATTGCTTCACAGGTCCCCATGACAAGTGACAGCCACAGTTATTTATTCTTCTCTACAGGCTTTCAATGGTCTCTAATTACCACTTAGCCTCTTTCTCCGGTGACCCTGTTTATTAAGGTAGGGTGGCTTTGCTGGCCATAGTGGAGTTCTGGTATTTCTTGGCTTCCTACTTGTGGGGGTGACTTTTCTCACAAGTCCCCAGTCCACTACTGATGAAAGTAAACATGACATGACATGAACTGCTTGGGGAAGAGAGGTGGCCAGTTTCTCAGGGGAAAAAGGGCATTGAGCCCCTTTCTCCAAGGGATTTTATTGGGTTGTAATACACAGGAATACAGGGTGGCAAGGATCAAACAGTAGATAACATTTCAAAGAGATCCGAGGGCTTAGTCTGAGTCAGTGTCTGTCAGGAAAGGGGGTTTTTCAGAAACTTTGGGAGATACTCATTTCCTGCTCAGACCCTTATCATATGAATGAAAGCACTCTTAGCAAAGCAGATTTCACAGGTTTTTGAGGAATTCTTTGTGATGTCAGATTTTTCCCTGGACACGGACATACTCTGGCAAGGAAAGGAGCTGCACCCCTGCCCATCAGGTATTCAAGCTTAAGGGGATTAGAGCTAGGAAGCACTTCTCCCAGAGGACATGGGGACTTGGGCTATGTCACATAGCCAGCAGGCACAGGTCTATGCTTGCTTTTTGTTGCAGCCCCCCAAGTACTTCCATGAAGGCCTCCCACGTGGTTGAGTCTGGCTTAGGTTGCTCCCTGCTGTGAGGAGACTTACCTGTCATGGATTTCTGACCATGCTTTGGTGGGCAGGGAGGAAACTGAGGCAGCATTTGCTACCAGAGACAAGCTTTGTCTCCTGTGGCTCACATTCTGGAGGTCACTCACAGCCTTAGCCATGGGGGCAATGGGGGGTGGTTAGGGTTATAATTCCTGAAACCAGGCAGACCGGTCCACAGCACCTATTCGATTTGTGTGTTCAGGCAGAAGCCTTAGGAACAGCCATCTCTCTCTTTGATTTTTTTTCCTGTTCTTGCTGTGGTTTTTTCTCTTCCCCCTGGCCCTCCACTCCCTAGCCCTTTAGTGTTCACTTTGGTGTCCCTGGTGGTGGATCATGCCTGCATGTTGAAACCTGTCACTGTGAACTTACTGTGGCCGGTTGGGGAACCCAGCAGGCCCAATGTAGCGGCTTGGTCATTGTGGCATTTGAAGAAGATGTCGTTGGAGCCATAGTGCCCTAAGTAAAGCTGATCCTGTTTAGAGGAGCCAGACTGGTCCTTTAAACTAGAGACATAGCACATAGCACAGAGTTTAAGTCAGCTTTTGCTTGAGAGGGGCTTCACTTTGGATTCTGTGAACATCAGTGACTATATAAAACTTTCAGAGAGTCACTGTGGAGAAGGAAAGAGCAATAGCAGAAAGAATGAGCAGGGAATGACCTTCTTAGAGAGCATCTGGTCCAACAGCTTTATGACACGGATGAGGGAACTGAGGCTTAGAGATGGGAGGGACTGGGAAGAAGGAGACAGCTGGTGGTCAGGCCCCAGATTTCCCAGGCTGGAGCTCTTCTCTTGCCCTGCATTGACCAATCTCACATGTAAGCAAGTGCAGACTTCACATGAGCCCCTGCAAAGGCCAGGAGAGACTGAGGAAGAACTTTTGACTGAATAGGGTTGTGACATTTTTCTGTGGAGAATATAAAGACATTGCTGATGTTCCAGTGGGATTTAGCTTATGATGTTACTTGAAAGTAGTGGGAAAGATGTATTATTTCTAAGGAAAGTCCCACCAACTTTGCTAAAAATGAACAAAGAAATGGAAGTTTTGTTGTCCTCTTTCTTAGTATAATCTGAGTGACAAGTTCCTCTGAAGGGACAAGAATTTCTACTTACTAGAGAAAGAAAGATGGGGGGCTAGAGACACCTGCACCACAGAGCAGAAGAGTGACCAGATTCCTGGCTCCTAGTCTCAGGAAGTGCAGCTGGTGTGCTGTGTCCTCACCTGGGGGAGGTGGTCCCCATAGTCTGTAAGCTCTTCATAGCTGCTCAGGTCAGTGACCTCATCATAGTTATCCAGGCTCAGGGCATAGTTCTCCAGATGCAGAGCCACATTAGAATTGCCTTCTCCACGTGGCTGTGCTTCTCTCTTTCTCTCTGTCTCTGGGAAAGAAGCAGTACCTACTTCCTGCAGCACCAGGGTGAGCAAGCTCAGGGAATCTAGAAATTTAATGGGGACTTGGGGGGTGGGGTTGGCATGAGAATGGGGCAGAATCACTTGGCATTCAATCCTGGGGAGTGAGCAGGAGGGAGGGCAGCCATCCGAGGAAATGGGATCTTTTGAATTTGTGGGAACTTCCCACCCCAACACTGGTAGACTCTTACCCCTGCATCCCACACTCAGTGCCTTCATTACCTGGGAAAGTGTCCTACAGGCTAGGGCTTTGTCTAAGAGGTATCTCTTGCAGCCCCGCCCCCCATTACTCCACTTCTGGCTCTATGTGCTTTCTCACACCCTGAGACTCTAATGGGCACGTGCAGACAGAGGCTCATTTACACATCTCCACAAGGACACACGCTTGTTCCCTTGATGACACAACTCTTTGTCGAGTGGGCACACACTTGTGCATTTATATGGATGTCCTCTCTTATACAACCATAGAGTGCAACGATTAGTCACTAAACTACATTTAGAGAAATTCCACCATCAAGGCATCTTGTGGTTTTTAAAATCATTGTTCACTCATTCATGCATTTGCTTAACAAACATTATGGACTTGGCTCTGGGGTGCAGAAATGAGTAAAACAAACTGAGTTCCAGGAACACCTAGTCCATTTAGGGGACCTAGGCTTACAAATTGACATGTAATGCAAAAAAGAATGTTAGTATACATGTAAAGTATACTTATAAGTGAAGCTTTTTAGAAATAAATGATTATAGAAACAAAAGACCTCTTCATTGTGGTTGTGGGAGTGTTATACACCTGGCAATTTCCTTAGATACATGTGTACATGTCTGTGTATGTGCACATATGTGATGTGCATTGCATACAAATGTTTGTGTAAGCTCACCCATATATGCACAGATGGGCCAAGACATGCATGTGGTGTTGGGTGTGTTTCTGATAATGTGGCTCTCTCCAGAGCCAGCTGCATGAATTTCTAGTAGATTCTCCCCCTTTTTAATTTTAGTCAGGCAAGAGGGTAAGCCCCCAGCAGTAGCAACAGTGTGCTCCCATACCTGACTCCATTTTACCTCCCATACCTGTCCAAACCACATATAATGTTTAAGAAATGTTCAAGAAAAGTCCTAAGGTAGTTTGCTGCCCCACAGCCTCCTCCAATGGCTCTGGCCTAAAGACCTAAACTCTTTTCATCCTCCTACCCAGTCCCCACTCCAGCTGGGCACTCTTTCCCTCATTTGCATACCAAGGGGTCTACCATCTCAAACCCTGAACCTTATCCTTATGTAGACTTTTTTGGTTCCAAAGGAGCTCACAGCATCCACAAAGGTGTGGACTCTGGTGAAAAGATTGTGTTCAGTGGGGCTTAGGTGAACAGCTGCCTGTGAAGGGCAGGGAGCAGGCCAAGGCAGGTGTATGGTCAGTTAGACTTCTTGATACACAGCTGTTTCCCCTCAGCAGATCCTCATCCCATTCCTTTGCTTGGTGCTAGGGAATTCTCTCCCTCCACCCTCTCCCACCTCACCCCATACTCACAGTCCCCCCACCTCCCACTCCCATCCCTTCCTCTCTTTCTTGGTTTGCTATTTCTTTTTCTTACTCACCCTCTTCAAGAGGGTAGACACTTCCCGCCTACTGAGGATCCCACCCCTCAGATTCTGTACTGTTTTCAGAGAAGGTAGCAGTGGGTGTGTGGAGTGTGGGGGTTTGCTCTCTTAGCTTTCTTCTCCATCCAGAGATGGACAATGCTTTGACTTTATAGGTGAAATCCAAAGATTAAAAAAGGCTGAGAGCTAAGGCATCCTGATCACCACCTACCACCTACATCTCCAGTGTGGGAACCATAGCAACAGAAATCACCAGATGGAGGGTTTGAAGGCTGGGTGATTCAAAAGGAAGGAGACTTGGGATGGGATAGGGCTTGAAAGCCAACTTCAAGTTCTTTGGTGATGATGGCAAGGATGACACAGGACATTCACTAACTTGGCTGAGGTGGGGTCCTAGAGAGGACTCCTGATTGTAAACACCAGGAGGCAATGTGTGGGGTCCTCAAGGACTAAGAAGGATTCTCCCCAAGATATGTTTGTGGGGAGAGACTCTCCTTTGCTTGGTGCCACAGGTTCTGCTGGGCAGTCTTTGGCGAATGTGTCTGAGGGAAGATGTGTCTCCCCAGGATCCTGCCAGCCTACATGTCTGTCTGTGTTCTTCAGTGATGCTCCTTCTCCTGCTCTCTTATCCTGGCCAGGTACTAAATCCCAGCTCCAAGGCCTCCTGAGGAACATTTAATGTAACCCCTTATGGTACAGATGGGGAAACAAGGCCAGTGAGGTGAGGTGACTTGCCCAAGGTCACACAGAGCCAGGAAGAATTCCTAGATTTCCTGACCCTCAGGGTTCCCCTTTGTTTGCATGACTCTGCTCTCTCTCTGCTCTCTCCCTCATCCCTGAGATTTCTGAGACCACATGTCTTGGTGCCATCATAACAGATGGCTTTGGCAGAGTTCACCTCTGCCTGAGCACACCATGTTGAAGGAGCAGATATAATAGCCTGGCCAAAGGGCAATGCGTGGTCTGCAGTGTTTCTGGGCACCAGATGTTGTGGAGAAGACATGCTGCAGCCTAAGAACCTGATCACCTGTGCCCTTGGCAGCCCCGCTACTTCCCATGTGAGGGAAACCAGAAGGGGCTTTGCTGGGTGGAGGGAGAGAGGGCCCTGGAGCCAGGACGGTGCTCTAGAAGCAGATGGCATATTTGGCTACTCTCCTCCTCTTTCTCTCTACAGCCAAGGCCTCTATGCTTCCTACCTGCACAATTTCTGTCCTGCAAGGAATGCAGATGCAACTGTTCTTTCATTCTGCCTGCCTCTCCCTCTCCCTCCTCACTTTCTTGGACACACTGCCTGTGTTCTATTGCCATGCCCTCTGACCTGCAATTTGTCCTCCCCCAGGGCACAGCCATCTTCACCTCACATGCAATGGCTTTCCCACAACTACCTCCCCACCAATCACTTCCAGACTAGCCTCAGGTCCTAAACCTTCCCCCAGCTTTGGCTCTACTTTCATTAACTTGCCTGCCTCACCTCTGGTTCCATGGATTTCAGGGAGGGCCCATGGGTGTGCATGTGTGACCTATGTGGGGACTCTCTGACCATCATGCTGTTGTTCCAGGATGTACAGCACCTTAGAGCACAGGAAGGGGGTGGGAGGTGTGGGAGCCCTTCTAATATGAGGCCCTCATTAGGAGAAGCACAAGGCATGCTCATGGAATGGATGTGGCAGTTGGTGGGATCACAAGTTTGGCCAGCTGACCCCGTTGCTACCCCTTTCATGAGTAGAAAATTTCAGGAAGCCCGTTTTTTGGAAAATAGGAGTATGTTTCCTGCTGAGGGCTTTTATCCACACAACCCCACGACTTGAACACACACACACACACACACACACACACACACACACCCTGCAGGCTACAAGCCAAGCATTCCTACCTCTTTGCTCATGCTGTTTCCCCTCCTGCCTATGTGCTTTTCCCCCTTCTCCCACCTGGAAAATTCTGCTCCAGCCCTTAAGATCCAGCTACAATGATGGGAGCCTTTCTGGTTTCTCTCTGGCAGAGGTTGAAACCCTTTCCACCATGCACTTTGTACACAAAATTATTCAAACCCTGAAGACAAGCAATTATTAATTAATGGATTTTTCCCTTTACCAAGTTATGAATTCCTCATGGGCATGAGATATGTATTACCTACCCTTGGATTCCTAGCTGGGAAGCTTGCATGTAGTTGATATCTACAGAAAACTTGCTGAATTGAACTGAAGCAGGTATTTAGGAGGCAGGGTGGGGGTGGTGGGGGCAGCAACTGGCAGTTTTCATCACAAAGAAAATGATGTTAGCTGGGAGGGTCACAGTCTACTTCTAGAACCTTCCATCTAAAGACAGATTCTAGGGTACACCCTTTTCACCCCTCTGTGAACATCTGCACTACCTATAAATCCTTCCAGATGGGGTGGCCCTTTGTTCTTGCCCTTGATACAGCTCTGCCAGTGTTTTTACACTGCAACTCCTTAACTAGTCTATAGGCTTCACTTGGTCAGGAATGGTGTCTGCTTTATGTCTGTCTGTATTTGGCTCAGTACTGTGCATTTGGGAGACTCTCGGCAATTAGGAATCTGTGAGCTGATAGTCCTGGGCCTTTGGGCTTCAAATGTAGCTGTCAGATTTCTGATCTGATTTTAGGCGTAATTTTTCATGAAAGTTGTGTTTTGGAGAAATTCACCAAGAAAACACTTTGGAATTGTTTACTTAGAGTTTCTTAAGAAGAAGACCCCTCCTCTACCCCTCTTCTCAGAGCAAGGGGAAAGTGGAGGAAGGAGGAGTGGGAGCCAGAATGACTTTAAGGTGTTATTCTTGACCTGCTCACATTGTCAAGTTCAAGCAGGATGTTTTTGATATTACTTTATTTCTTCTGCTGTGAAGCATGTTGGAATGCAAAAGTTGTGTCACAAAGTTAATGTGGTCTTCCAAAACAGCTATATGAACAGAGTACACATATACTCCTACTTACACACCTGTATATGTAGATACCAACAGCACTGGGAGATACAGTTGTGTGTGGAGGAGAGGCTTCCTGAAATCCAAGGGAAATCAGCACATTGTGTATGTGTGTGGGAGTGCAGTGGGGGACAGGGTTTGCTGTAATCAGTTTAACTCAATCCTCTCTGGCTTACAGCTGCAGAAAGTGATGGAGGGAGCATTTATTCTAGATGGTGTTATGGGATGATGGTGATTGTGTTGTTGCTGAAACAAACTAGTTGGGGTTTGCAGAAGCAGGGGGATGACCCCCCTCCACTGAGCCATGGAGCTGTGTTCCCCCAGGGCCTCGTCAGAGCAGCTGAGGTTGAAAGAGGTGAATAAGGCGCAGAAGGGGGTTTATCCAGGCCAGAGCACCAGGTTGCCTATAGCCACAATACTATATTGACTTTAAGCAGGAGCCTTGGAGAAACCAGCTGTAGGTCAGAAGAATGAGGCAGTTTATAGGAGCATAGTGAAGGAGGCTAGGATTGAATGGGCTCTGTTTTCTGTGAATTAGAAAAAGAGAAATTGAGAATGAGTATAATGGAAACTTTTTGAAGTTAGGGGTCTAGCTTAGTACAGTTTCTTAAAAATCTCTGTACTTTTGCTCAACCCATCTTGAGGGTGGGCAACTATGTACTACTCATTTCTAGAACATCCACCCCACCCCACCAACATATACACTCAAGGACTGTAGAGGAGCAGCATCCCTTAGAGGCAGGTCAGGGGAAGATGCAGGTGAGATTTTGGGACCCAGGCTCCCTTGGAGGTCAGCCAAGCTTCACCTGGGTCAGACAGGGAGGGTGGGAAGGCTGAGGGAGGGACATCCATACAGGGAATAAATAACTGCAAGGAAAGTGGATAATATTTAGGACTTGTCTTGCATTAGAACAAGGTCTAAAGGGCAGAGCCACAGAATGGAACATGAGTGCTAGAGGGGACTTAGAGGGGTTTACAGAGTATGGGAGCTGAGAGCAGAATGCACCACAAGTTCAGAGAGTGAAGGGGAAGAGACCACATTCTCTGCTGGTCCCTAAGGTTCCCACTGGTGCTCACACATGATGGAATGAGCCACTCTCAAGTCCCACCTTAGGGCCACTGTAGCTCTGTGCCCTTTAGACCCCAGAGGAGAGAGGGAGAGATCATGCACATGGCTCCTGGCTCTTCAAGTTGGAACTCTTAAACTTGAAACTTACCCCCAGAGAGATGAAGGGGAGGAGCCATCTGTGACCTGCACCAGCCACCAGGTGTCACTGATGTGTCTGTCTTAGAGAGGAGGCTAATTTGAACACAAGGAAGAGGCTTCTGGGAAATTTCCAGGTGCCCCACCCCTTCTTGCAGGTTTCTCAGAAATTTCTCTGCGGGTGGAAAGGGTTAGGCCATCCATGTTGATAGAGAACAGATGTCAGGGTGGGGTTGGTGACTCTGCACCCTCCACAGTGGACATTGTGTTCCCCAGGCACCAGGCCTCTTGTTCAGAGTGGCCAAGGGGGCTGCAGGACCCATTTGCAACCTCACTGGCCCATTCCAGGGCTCTGACTCCCACCCCTCCCCCGCTGGCCAATTCTTAGAATCTGAGTCATTCTTCTCCTGGACTATTTCTCCCTGCTTTCCCTCTTGGACCACAGGGGCCCATTTAGAAGAGTGTGAGCTATGTTCACCCTGGAGAAAGAGGGCCTTAGCTTCCCCCTATGGAGAGTAGGCCAGATGCAGGTCCTTGTGGGAATGCTGACCCTCTGCCCTCCCTGTCCATGTCCTTGCACTTTCTTTTTGAGAACACAAGCTGGCAGAGAGCCAGTGTGATGTCTGGTGCCAGCAAACAAGTGGTGGAGCAGCAGTTTTGCAAGACGGATCATCCTTGGCCAACAAAGCCTGAGTTTTTTGGCCCTGTGAGGTCAGAGTTGCCCACAAAGGAGTCTTGTGCAGGACTTTGTGAGCCTCACCTCCTGGCCACCCCTGGCCATTTTCCTGGTTCACCAGGACTGAGGTCCAGATGTCAGTCCAGGTCCAGATTCACCCAGGAGTGACAGGGGAAGGTGAGGAGAGAAGGGACTATTAAATCTTTAGGCAGACATCTGTGCTTCTGGGGTCAGAAGTTTGGGTATACAGTGGGTGTCTTTAGGCTGGGTGGACCCAACCCAGGCCTGGGAAGTCTTTCCCTAGAAGCTGCAGGTGCAGCAATATGTGGCCTGTCCTACTTCAGCAAGGTTGGATAAGAAAGGCAAAGCTGGGAGAAAGACAGGAGGATAGAGAAAACAAATGGGGAGCTCAGGTGCCTGGGCCACCAGCATTCAAATGTGGTCAGAAGAGACCCAGGGCAGAGCAAGACCTAGATGACCACAGACTGCAGCAGGCGGAAGCACATCATGAGGTCCAGCGGGATGGGTGGCTTCAGGTAGTTCCCATCCAGCCTCAGGTAGCGGAGGTGTGGCACATTCTCCAGATCCGAGGAGAAGTCATGGAAGGTGACCAGGTTGTTGGGGCAAATCTGAGTTCCATTGATCTCTATGGAGAAAGAAGGGGAGAAGTGAGCAGGAGAGGAGGTGGGCAATCAGGACAGAGGGGGTGTGTGCAGGCACAGGTGAGGAAGGAGAAGGTGGACAACAGAGAGTGAGGACTCTAGAGTTCTGGCTGGAACTGGCTGACTTTAGGAATGTGTGACCATGGATGAGTTCACCTTTACCTGCAGGCCTGGTTTATTCATAGTAAAATTAAGCTGGACTTGATCTACAATTGTTTTTGGAAATTTACTCTGAGGAGTCATGGAGGAAGTAAACTTTGAGCTAAACCTTCAAAATTAGGTAGGATTATAGCAGGAGGAGACATAAGAGGGAGGGGTTCTGATGAAGGAACTTATTTGAATAGAGTTGTGAAGGACAGAAAGGTCATGGAAGAATCTGGGAGTAGTAAACAGCCCAGTGTGATGGAGTAGTGAGAGTGAGCTGTAACATTAAGTTGTAGCCAAAACTTATGGTTAATTTTCAAATACTTCACTAAGGAGTGGGGATTTGATCTTCAGTCTGAGAAATGATATTGAGCAAGACTGTCATTTTGAGAAGGGTGACAAAATGTATGAACTATAGCATCCTGGTGTGTAAAATTTGGAAGGGGTCTATGAAGAGTTTTATACTGCAGAATGGTGAATCTAGCCATAGTGTGGAGAAAGAGTGGGGTGAGGTGAGAATTGAAACTGGTAGGTAGATGTGAGAATTTCTTGTCACCTGGATGTGAGGCATATGGGAGGACAGAAGATGGTCACATTAACTGAAAGAGGGATGACAGGAAGAGAAAAGGTGGTCTACGGAGGACACAAGGCCATAGGGACAAGCTGAACCTATTGATTCTGATGTGATTACTGATTCTAGGCTTTCAAAGGAAAATGAGGTTTCATTTTCTCCTTCACCTCTTGTTAGATGACATCAGATGTATCATCTTCTAAGTGAATTTTTATTCTCCCTAAGTCTTGCCTCATTTATTATCCTTAGGGACATTGTTCTTCTCTCTTTACCATTGGAGTTGCAAAAAAAGCCCTGACAAGGATGGATTTTCTTGCAGCTTTTGTCACTTTGGACTGTCATCTGACCACACTGATGTTCAGTCCCCAGATCTGTGACATGGTGAGTGTGAGTGTGGTTTTTCTGACTTCACCCTCAGGAGTCCGGCTGTCCCCTAGCAGCCTGTTCTTCCACAACCAGAAAGAAACCTACCATATATTAGGCATATATTAGGCAGCCTTTCTGTCTATATTTTTGGCCTATAATGAATCCTAGGGGGTAGTGCGTTGCCTCACTTTACTCCCTGCAGGGTAAAATTAGACAGTTTTTCCTTTTCCTGAATTTGTTTCTCCCCAGATTTTTAAAAGTGCTCTATGACTCTGTATAATTATCCCAGATGAGTGAACGAGCCTGTTCTCCTGACACTTGTTTCAAGAATGTAGAAACTCAACAATCTTCCTCTCATCCTTTGGCTGGGAAACTAAGGATTTCTATTATTGTCATAGGGGAGCTTCTCTTTTTCTTGGTCCCCTTCATCCCTGCAGCTGCTGCATTCCTTATGTGGGGATAGCCTTATTTTGTTCAAGGACCAGGTAATATTCTCTCTTTTGTTTTTAAATCTTTCTGCTGATGTTCAGAGCTGGCATTTTTGATGGAAGTAAAATTGCTACATCTATCCTCTTCTTTTGGGCTGCAATTGATATCTCATAGCCCAGGACCCTGTAAATGCAGTTTAGGCAAATTCTGCCTTAAGTGTACTGTCTTCTATAACTAAATATTCCAGCTTTCCAGATAGATTCAGAAAGCACCCACATATCAATGTTGTCATGCTGACAGTTGTATACCTGGAATACATAGGGGTGAGCAAAAGTAAGTTTACAGTTGTGAATTTGTGAAACAGTTGATTTTTGTATTATTATTTATTTATTAATTATTGTATTATTATTATTATCCTATTTTGCTTGCCACTGTATAGCTGGCTCTCTGTGTATACCTTTTACAGATGCTTCAAAGCTGAGGGGCAGAGATGGGGGATGCTGCATTTCACAACTGCCAGATTCTGCAGCAGACAGGCCCAAGACATTTCAGAGTGGGCATTTAAATGTCACTGTTATGCTTCTAGGAGAATGTCCAGGACTATATTCCATGTCTACCCTACCTATAGATCTAGAGGGCAAAGAATCAGGGGCTGATGAGAAGAGGGGAGAAAGAGAAGGGAGTACTTTCCAAGCATGGTATTCTGGGCACTATATCATATTAAATGATTAAGTCCTCATATTGACTTTATACGAGGTATTTCACCACTCTCACTTTACAGATGAGGGAACTCCTCAGAGAGGTCAGATATCTGTTCAAGGTCATACAGATAAGCAAGTGGTAAGGCCAAGATTTGAAGTACAGTGCCAAACAGGGTGCTTTTTGCACACCCCTACCCTGAGGCTCCTGAGAAAGGGCTGAGCTGGTAAGTCCCCAGCCTCCCTCCCTGGGGTCTGGCCCCGCATACCCCACTCACTCTCAATGCTGTTGTTGTTGAGGTATAGGTGCTCCAGTTTGTTGCTAATGGCAGGCACATTGCTGATCTTGTTGTGTGACAGGTGGAGCACAAGCAGGTTGGAGATGTTAAAGGAGTTCTTGGGGAGCCCCCGGTCAGAGAGCTTGTTATAGTTAAGGCGAATGAAGGCCAGGTTGGGAAAGGACTTGAAGTATCCATTAGGGATCGACTCTATTCTGTTGCTGTCCAGGTAGAGCTGGTGAATGGCTGTGGGGACCTTGGGTGGCATCTTTCTCAGGGTGTTGTGGGCCAAGTTGAGCTGCATGAGGCTCTTGAGGCCCTTGAAGGTGTCTGGCCTGAGGACTTCATCATTTAGCTTGTTGTGTTGGAGATCCAGGAGCAGTAGGTGCTCCAACCTGCTGAAGACACCAGGAGGGATCTTGGAGATCTTGTTCTGGCTTAGCCTCAGTTGCTCCAAGTTTGGGGGGAGGGCAGAGGGCACCTCTTCCAGCTGGTTCTTTTCCATGTAGAGGAATGCCAGGCTGGGCAGTTGGTCCAGCACCTTCTGGTCTACCTTTCGAATTCGGTTGTTGTCCAGGTTGACCCATCTCAGGCCTGAGGCATTCTTGAAGGACTCTACTGGGAGCTCAGTTATGAAATTGTTCTGGAGATAGAGGTAATGGATTCGGGATGGGATGATGGGGACTTTTCTAAGGTTGCGGCTATCACAGTAGAGGGCAGATGGGAAATCATGCGGGCAGTAGCATTCCCGGGGACAGTCAGGAAAGATAGATGGAGGGCCTGGTGGGAGGGGCGGAGGCAGGTCTGTAGGCTCCAGTGGCTCACGGGGCTGAGGAAAGCTGGGAGTGGGCCTGGGCCTAGGTCTGGGCCTGGGCCTGGGTCTTGGTCGTCTTGTTGGCTGGCCTTGGGTCACTGAGGCCAAGATGAAGAGAAGTGGGAGGATCAAGAAGAGGGATGGCCTCATGATCCAGATGATGTGCCTGCAGGGAGAGAATAGAGGTTATTAGCCTACTGGGCCTCAGTGTTTAGAAGGCCATGTCTTTGTAGTTAAAGTTGGCCAGGATGGGCTCCAGGTGAGCTGTGGGAGGAACTGTGGAAGCATTTCCTTGTTTGCCTGCATCTAGCAGATGAGAAAGTAATGAGGGCTCAAGAGCCTGGATTCCCTGCCCAGAGGCCTAGCCACTCGATGTGTTTCACTTGCTCTGGAGAGCATGAGCCATCCTGGCAGAAGGCACAGTGGGCTGTGAATCGGGAGTTCTGTAGCTTGCTGTCTAGCCCTCAGTCTCCCCATTTTCAGTATGATAAAAATCATTGCTTTCCTTATAGGAAGCATGTTAGGTATATGAACAATAGAGTCCTGGGGTTAAAATCTGGAAGTGTCCTTAGAGATCCCACAGCTCGGTGGTTCTGAAACTGTGCCCCCATTTCTATGGAGCTCCTCTGAAGGAAGGAGACCAAGGGGATGGCCCTGGGGCACCCCCAACTCACTCCTGTGACAACCTGAGCAGCTCTGTTTTTTTTTTTAAATATTTATTTATTTTTAGAGAGAGGAGACAGGAAGGAGAAAGAGAGGGAGAGAAACATCAATGCATGGTTGCCTCTCATGTGTCCCCCACTGGGGACCTGACCTGCAACCCAGGCAATGTGCCCTGACTGGGAATCAAACCAGCGACCCTTTGCTTCACAGGCCCGCACTCAATTCACTGAGCTACACCAGCCAGGGCTATCTCTGTGTTTTTTTAGTCTGATACACACACACGCACATGTGCACACATACACACTGGGGTTTAATCAAAACATTTGTTTGAAAAATAAAGTTGCATTGCTATAAACTGGTTTGAAATCCACCAATGAAGCCCAGACAGTACTGTTTATACAGTTTGAGCCCTGGAGGGAAGAAATAGTTTACCAAGGCCAGGAAGCCATTTACAGCAGACCCAGGACAAGAGCCCAGGTCTCCTGCCTTCCAGGGCGGTGTTCGTAAAGATCTTGGAAAGGAAGGAAGTGCTACAGATCAGTGTGTGTCCCCCTGCTTGCCCCTCACCCACTGAACTCAGCTCAGCAAACACTGATTTCTACCAGCAGGATACACACCAAGAATTTTCCTTTGGTGTGGAGGATTCTGGGAAAGTAAACAGGGGAGGATGGAAAGCTGGAGGGAAACCACTTTCACTCCTTGTGACCCAGTATCACTGCTCACATATCCACTGGAGTTGGTGGTGTTGAGATATCAAGAAGAACTTCCTGCTAGCCTCAGAAACATAGTGGAATAGGTTGCTGAAGGATGTTTTGAAGTTGCCCTCCCATTGGCTGTGGTGACCCTTCAGATAGAGCCATGTGGTTTAAATTGAATTAAGCTGGGGAAATATCAATAGACCCAGGGTTGCAGACACAAAGTGCCAGCTCTCACAGGCTCCCCCCTTGCCTGGCTGGGAAGGGTCTGGGGAAGAGGTTTCATGTACCATCCTCTCCCCAGGGTCCCCATCTTTCTGACACCCTCTCTGGTCTCCAGGTAGGGTCGTCATTCCCACATTGTTTCCACTGGCCCTTCTTGTTGCTTCTTCAGGACTGTGGTGTCTACCTGTCCCCCTTTTGGGATCTAGGATGCACTGGGGATACAGACTTCTTGGGGTTCTCTGAGATAGATGGGGCTGGAATGTGTCCCCAGCTGTATCTAGACCCTGTGATCACTGCCTCTGTTGTAGGCTGCTCAGTCTCTTTCCTTTGAGGCCACATCAACTTAGACTCCTCCCTGTGTGAGCCACTGACTCAGTGCTGGCTTCTTGTGGCTTTGCTCAAAGGAAGACTACAGAATCCCCTCATCGGCTGCTTAGTCCTGGGTTAGGTTCTCAGGAGAGCTGAATATGAAAAGAAACAGGAGAGAAGGCAGAGCTCAATTGTGGAGGGTAGGAGGGAGTATTCCACACTTTTCACAAAAACGCCCTTGACTCCCAGCCTGTCTACACCTCCTGTACCATACACACAAGCAAACTCATGTTTGCATGAGTTCTGTGTGCATGTGTAAGCCCTTGTATATAGTACACTGAGTATGGAAAGGAAAGAGTAAAGGAGAGAGGAAGGGAGAGATGGAAAGCAGGCAGACAGACATACTAGGAGGAGGGAGGGAAGAGATTGCCTGTAGCCTCCGTTGCCTTTCTAGCTCCTTCTAAATTGGTCTTTTCTCAGGCAGGCCTCCTCAAAGGGGTCCAGGAAGGGCATTTTCCTCAGGCCTTTTGTCACAAAGGAACTTGCATTTAAATTCTTGGCTTTATCTATAGTTGAGGCTATATAATAGTCCCAGGAATATACTGAAAGGATGGAAAAGTTAAGTCATTCATTGTAAAACTACACTTGGAATCTTGTGGCCAGACCAATACAACTTGATGAACTATGAACTAATATTTTAGGAGCCTTGTAATTTTCTTGAAATTAACACCATCATTTTGCATATAAATTTTAAGAAGGCAGTTAAAGCATTAGTATGCTAAAAACAAATATATATATATATATACTTCTTTTGTCCCAGCAAATCTCTTCTTTCCTTAAACAGAAACTGGTCCCCCCCCCCAACGATTTTATTTATTTATTTTTAGAGAGAGGGGAAGGGAGGGAGAAAGAGAGGGAAAGAAACATCAGTGTGTGGTTGCCTCTTGTGCACCCCCTACTGGGGACCTAACTGGCAACACAGGCATGTGCCCAGACTGGGAATCAAACCTGCAACCCTTTGGTTCACAATCTGGTGCTAAATCCACTGAGCCACACCAGCCAAGGCAAAACAAACATTTTTAAAAGCCCCACTTTTTGTGACCCTAAATATTTTGTTTTGGCATTCATTTATTTTCTTATCACTCGGAAGCCTGAAACAAGCAAGCTCTGCCCCAAAGAGGCACCCCAGTACTGGCTAGGGCTCCCTATTTCCTGGCATGCCCTCTGTCATCAAAATCATCTGCCAGGTGTTGGGCCCTGAAGCAGGGGAAATTTTTCCAGAGCTTCCAGCAAAAGCCCACTTCATGAAGCACAGTGACTCAGGCCTTTGTGTGGGAGTGTTTCTGCAGCCCTGGTCTTCATTGTCAGGAGTGATAGAGTCACAGGTCAGTCATGGCTCTATCTGGCTGGCCAGCTTCCCTCTTCTTTTGTCAGAAATGAGCAGAGGGCTTCCTCATCTTCATTGCCCTCCCAGACCCTTCAGGGACTTCTCTGACCTGCTGGCCAGTCCTGATCCTTTTGCATACCAAGCCTCTGGGGGCTGGCCAAGCTTCCCCAGAGCAGATGGGAGGCTCCTTAGAAAAGGTCCATGGGCCTGTGCCATGGAGAAGCTGGATCTGCTGATTCCCTTTCTCTTAGCCTGTGGCTGAACCATTCTGTGTGTGTGTGTGTGTGTGTGTGTGTGTGTGTGTGTGTGTGTGTGTGTACGCCCATGCTTCTTTCTTGAGAAAATAACATTCATTTCTAAGCCTTTTCTCCTTGGGCAACGCCTCTTCCTGCTGGAGCGTGGCTGTCCAGGGGGAGGTCCTGACAGCCCAGCTCTGGCAATGCTCTGTAATGTCCTAATCCCTGAAACCAGTATCTGTGTGACAGACTGGAAGTCCCCAAACTCCATCAGGAGTCATAGCTCTCCTCCTCAAAAACCCAATGTCACACGTTCTTATGTTTCTGCCTTCCAGAAATTTCTATTCAATCATAAGCTCTCTGGGGTGAGTCACAATTGTGTATAATGTTTAAATTTCTTATGCTTTTGAAAGCACACCTCCCCACCTCCAAACTTTTTGCTGGCTGTGCTCACTGCTCAATCACTGCACCCCTGTTTGCTAATGCTGTCTCTCTAAAGGCTGCTGCTTCATGAGGAGAGACTATGGTCAATTGCTTTACCCAACTGAAATTTCAATCTCTCCCTCTAGAATATTTCCTAAGAGAGTTTGAAATTCAAATTTCAATTCCAGTATTGGAGATCTGGGCTTGAATCCTGGCTGTGCCCCTCCACCCCAGGCCTCAGGCTCCTCCTCTGTGTGAGGATCAAATGAGATCATGCACATAAAGGCATATCACAACATGCACTCTCTACAAATGGCAGGGGTTAGCTTATTCATTGCTTTGATAAAAGAATAGATTCTCTAGAGAGACTCTTATTTTAGAGTGAGCCAGCCCCCATCTCTATCTAGTTCATAAATTCATTCATTTAAAATTTGAATACCCAGGGCTGGTGCAATGTCTAGGTTCAGGGCAGGGCTGGGTTGAGGTCCATGTGAGTTTGTCAAGTCACTGGGAGACAGTTTAAGGCTAATTGGCTTTGTATGGAGAATTGGGAATTGGGGTTGTCTGGGAGTAGGTTTGGGTATGTTTCCTCAGATTAAGGGATTACTCCATATGATTTATTGGCATTTTTCTTTCTTGTCAGATTCCCTGTCTCATTGTTACCCCTATCTCCCCATGGCTTAATACAGCCAGTGATCCTGGAAAATGGGGCTGCCCCCTGCCCCAGAGCCACACCCATGGTCGTTGGCATGACCCTCTTTCTCTATTCTTGACTTTCTGTTCTAAACTCAGACTTCTGAAAACCATCCTGTCCCCTACATCTCTTCCTGAAGCCCAGAATGGAGCTGGAAGGCAGGAGAATGAGACAGTCTCTGCCCAATGGCTAGCAGAAAAGCAAGGCAGACCCATGTAGGCTGCCTGAGACCCTTTCAAGGTCTGTAAGTGGGACTCGTGTGGTCCTGAGATAACAACAGAGCTGATATGGGCATGTGATGAATTCAACACACCTCTGATGCAGCTGCTTGGGGGTGAAATCAGTATAAAGGTGGACCTGACTGGGGAGGATGAGGAGAGCTTCATGGTGCAAACTAGACAGGGGAGTAGAGTTCTCAGCCCATCCACCACTACCTAGTGACACAAACTTGCTCTCAGCCTGTTTCCTTACCTGTAAAAGGGGGATAAGAAATGGTCCCTACTCCTGTATTCCTTACCCAGTTGTTGTCAGAAGCAAGTGTGATAAGTAACTTTAAAATGGGCTGCAGATCAAAAAGTGCTAAAACTAAATATAACACTATGGTGGAGAGACCATCTGTCTCCCCAGTGTATACCGCAAGGAAAAGTATAAACAGAGTGAAGTTTTTCTGGCCTTAGGCCACTAGTGTAGAAGAGCAAGTTTTCCATTAGGGGGGCTGGGGAAGGAACAAGGGTAAGATGGCTCTCCTCCTCACCTCACCATCCCCTTCTTCCTGCCTCCATCTCTAAAAGAATCTGTCTGATGCCCTAGGTGCTTATACATCTGGGTCCTAAACTCGCAACTCTAGCTTCTTCACTGGATGCTCTTGGGCAAATCTTTTACCTCAAGTAAGCTTCAGCTCCCTCATCTGTAAAATGAATACATTAATACTTTCTTATATTGATTTGAGGGTTAAATGAGTAAATGTATGTAAAGTGAGTGCTCACTGAGTCTTAAGCTATTGTTGACATTATTTCAGAGTAACAGGGTCTCTTTTCCTCCAGATTGGCTGGAGGGTGGTTCAGCCTTCCACCAGATGGTGGGGATCCTTGCTCATGGGTTGCCCTTCTCCTTTCACACAGAGCAACTTCTTCTCACTTGTGGCCTGTGAGACCACACTGGGGTACCAGAACCAACTACTTGGAGACCATAGACCCCCAGCCACCTGCAACTGCTCACTCTGCCCTCCAATTCATTCTCTGCCACCCCCTGCCCCTGCCTTCAAGCCTTTCTGTGGCAGGTGAGGAGGAACTGGTGAGGGAAAACTCAGAGATGGCCACAAGTCCCATTATGACCCATGACTTTCCCTCCCAACCTTTCATAACTGGCTTTTTTGTACCTTCCAGCCTAAAAATGCTTCCCTCGCATGCCAATAATGGGGCTGCCCACTGGGCGGAGCTCAGTGTCCAGCCCATCTTCTGTGTGAGGCCGTCAGAACAGATAGCTATTGGGCAGGAGTAGAGATGTGGAAGAGATGGGGAGAAGCCCAGCACAGTGCTTCAGGGGGCTCAAGGCAGGCAGATTAGCAGGTGAGGGGAAACAAAAGCCTTTTGGACCTATCTTGGGGGAACTTTCTTCTTAGGATGTTACCCTGCAATAGGGCTGTAAGTGCTGGCAAGGAGGATGGAGGGAGAGAACTCACAGGAGATCTTTCCTGTTCCCTCAGCACCAACTCCCGTTTGGGACATCCCAGAACTATTCCATCAGACAGTCCTTGTTCAGGAAACATAGCTGTTCTGCCCAGCTAGCACTGCCAGGAGCTCTGGGCTCTTCAGTCCCAACACTGAAGAGTCTCCCGCAGGCCGCTGATTTAGGTTCTCAAGTCATGGCTGACCTTCTGTATTAAAGTCATAACAGATCCCTGGGTCTCTATTCAGTAGGTCTGGAGCAAGGGATCCAGACTTCTGTATTTTTAGTAAGCATCCTTATTTCCTCCTCCCCTGCCCCCAAGTGATTGTGAAGATCACCCATATTTGGGGGCCCTGGTCTAGCTCAACCCAGCCTGCCTTGGGACAGCACTGTCTCCTTTTGACATGGACAAAGGTTATACTATTTGGAAGCAAGCCCCACTCAGTTACTCCTCCAGTTTTCCCCTGCCTGACTCATTAAGAGACTCCTTATTTTTTTTCTCTGCCACAAGGATTCCTTGGCAACCTGGGATAATTTTGAAATGGCTTTAAAGAGGAATCTTTTCTGACTGCCTGCCAAAAAGCAAACGAACACTGCCTGAGCTGGAGATTAGGACCTCCAAAGCTTGGAAGCTGGATTCTTTCTTTTCTTTCTCTCTGAAGATAGTGGTTTGGACCAGTGAGACAGAAATTCAGAGCTACTGGGAAGATACTGTGCAGGCTGGAAAGTGACTGTTTCTCCCTCCTACCCAATTAAGTTCTAAAGAATGAAGAAGTCCTTCCAAGTCCTGCTCTTGTTCATGTCCTCCCTGCTCTGCCTAAACTAAGCACACATGATTTTCTTTGGCTCTGCCATTTCAGTGGGAAGACGTACTTTCTTTTTGCTCTTATGGCTAGCGAGGTGTGTGAGAGCATGAGAGACAAGACAAAGTGTGTGGGGGTGTCTAGCTCTGCATGTTGCATGAAGTCAGAAAATTCAGGTGAGTGGGAAGAAGCTTTTGTGTGTGTGTATATTTATGTGTGTTTTGTATAATGAAAGACTGTGTAACGTGTGTGTGCCTGTGACAGTAAGTGACAATATATGAAAAGTGCAGAGAAATGGGTTCTTGATTCCAGTTTCTATGGAAGTACCCAATCTATAAAAGTGTTGTATTACACTCTGTAAAACTCTTTACTAGAACAAACATCTGTACCAAGAAAGTTAAATTTTGCAGCCAGCAAATATGTAGGCAGAGCATGATGAAGAGAAGGAAGAGAAACAGGGTGCAGAAGCAGTGAGGAAGACTAATTTGAACTCGTTTGAAAGAAGACAAAGGTGGGAAGGTTGGAAGGAAGAAAGAGACAGAGACTAGGTCAACCACCGAGGCTGGACAGAGCAGGACAACACTTGCTGGAGGGATGATACTTCCTGTGCATCTCCCCACTGGGCTTACCTGCATACACCTGCCTCTGCTCTCAGCTCTGGGTTAGTCCCCGGCAAGGCTCCCTCCTCCTCTTCCTCCCCCACCCTTCGGTGGAGCTGTGGCAGCAGAGAGCCAGCTAGAAGTTCTGATCTCCCAGTGGTGCTAGTGTGCTTGTGTTTGCTTGACTTTTCATCTACCAGATCCTATTGGGGTGGGGAGGTTATGTTAGGGGGAGGTACAGGCAGATTGTAGGGAGGGACGAGAGGAGGAAGGGAGGGGAAAAGAGAGGGAGGGAGCTTGGGAAAGGAGGAATGACAACAATAAAGTCTTTATTTGGCAGCCAAAGCTCCCAAAGACTTCTTCCACACATCATGCTCACTAACAAACTCATTTTTAATAACATTTCCTGCTGCGCTGCTGCTGCTTCTGGGTACAGATTGTTTGACCCATGTTTTGAAAACAAACCAAAATAACAGGAACAGTGTGAAAAGCAAACTCTGTGTGAGCCAGAGCTGAAGGGCTGGGTCCACACTATCCTGTTTCATCTTTCCTCCTGACGATTGCCTTGCTTCCCATTGCTTTCCTGTTGTTAAAGTCCCAAACTAATGAGGGGCTTGAGACATTTTCTCCGACAATTGTTTCCTGTGTCATTTTTTCTAGGAGCTTGCTAAAGAAATACAGCTTCCTGTACAGTGAGCTGGCACGGGAGATAGCTTTGGTTTGGCTGCCAGAAGGGTACTCTGAAGACCAGAGAGGGAAAAATCTGGCCTGGAGTTACACAGCAAATAGACAATGTTAGTGTCTTCTTTCAGCTTCTTCATCTGTATCACATTCAGGAGAGATTTAGGGGCTGTATGGTCATCACCCAAAGACATGGAGAAATCCAAGTGTGCCTGTCCACGTCATCCCGGAAGACCCATTCAAGTCAGACTATTACCTCAAACAGTTCTTCTCCATTAAAAATGGCAACACACTTGCAGTGAACTGGGCCCATCAAAATTTCCTGCCATCCCAATTGACTACTTAGAAACTTCAATGACACATTTTTTTTCTCTCACTAGGTCGATGGAGAGCTGAAGAGCCCAGTGAGGGAGAGCCCTGACACACCTCTCAATCTGGGGTAGAGGAAAGAACATTAAAATCAATGTCAGAAGCTCTGAATTCTTCCATTTATAAGCTATCTGATCTTGGGCAAGTCAATCACATGTAGCCTCAGTTTCCTTATCTATGAAGGGATAATATTGTACCTATCTCATAGGGCTGTAAGATGAAATCGTATGTGTGAGAGCATTTTATAAACTGAGAAGATATGAGGATTAGGAGATGAGTATGGGGAATAGTAGTCAGCCTAAGAAACAGAGTAAACAACAACAAAAAAATAACTTGTACTTTCTTTTCCCACTGTGCTTCTACCAAAACGCATGAACCTTTCTTACCTGCTTGTGAGGTCTTGCTAGAAGTCAGTGCAACCCTCTCTAGAGTCACAGGTGCCTTGCATGTGCCAAGCCACTCATACATTCTATTTTTTTTATCCCGATGGGATATGTTCCCTTCTGCAGACTGAGGATATTGACCCTAGATCTGCTTCTTGCTCTTGGTTGGGTGGGTGGTAAGAAAAGTGAGCAAGAAAGTGATCTGCAGGGAGGATGGGCAAAGGTAGGGATAGAAGGGGTTAGACAGGTGCAGTGTGTATGACTTGAATCCATTTTTATGGAGTTCACCCAAATTCCCAGAGTCCATGATCAAGAATGTTGATGATGGCTGACTCCAAACCCTTCCCAAGCCATTGTGTCTCCCTCCCTCCCTCCCTCCCTCCCTCCCTCCCTCCCTCATCTTTCCCTGTCCCAGGTCATTCAGAAAGAATTGCCATGAAGGACAAAGAGAACCAGAGAGCTATTAGGGAGTGTGTAGAGCATGCTAATTGGCAGCTTGTAGATCTAATATGCCTTGAGGACTCAATATGTTTTCTGATAGCACATTAATTTAAAAACTTTTATTATGGGAAATTTAAAACATATACACATTTACTCAGATAGTGTTAATAACCCCATGTACCCAATGCCCTTCTGCAACTATTATCAACTCATGGTCTATCTCGTTCCATCTGTGCCCCATACTCCCCTCCCAAAAATCATAGGCAGCATTGATACTTTTAAAAATTGGATTTGAAGCTTTTTAGGAAGGAAAAGCACTACCTGGTTCAACACAGTCACCATTCCTCCAAGGTATCTTGTCATAGAGTTGATTACCTACTCAGTTACTGCTCTGCCTGTCCTTGAAGACATTTGAGGTCACAACCACTGGTCTAAGGGCAATAACTGAGAAAGGAAGTAGTTGGAACAAATCAGGTCACTATAAGTGAGGTATGAGGTATTCTTAATTAACCTACCTTTCTGATGGCTGTGACAGGGGACAAAATTGTTTCAATGGTGGGAGACAGGGGCTGAGTTTTTGAGACTTGACTTTTCCTGTTACATGCTGTGTGACCTTGGAAATGTCCCTCTCCCTCTCTGATCTCAGTTCATCACTTAAAAATGCGAGGTTATATTAAGTGAACTGTGAGTTCTTTTCTAGCAATAGTGTAAAGAGAGCCTGAGATTTGGACTTGGGACACCTAGGGTTGAAATGTCCACTCTGCTACTCTCTAGCTACCTGGTTAGCAGGTCTTGATCACACCTGTGTCTAATGTAATAACCTTGCCCCATGTTCTGCATCCAGGACAACATGAGGCTCATTGGGAACATTGTCTGGGAGACCATTGACTCACTGGCTTACTTCACCCAGACCCTGCAAGTCCTCCAGAAAGAGCTTCTCCTCCTCAGGCATACCAGTCATGTAGCTTCACCCCAGGGAGGTACTTCTCTTATCCTGGTACATCGAGGACAATATGAGGTGAATTCTGGGGAAAGTGGTAGAAAGTCAAGCTTTTTAGGTTGCTGCTATGGCCTACTCCTATAAGGAGTAGGGGGGCAAAATGTGGGGAAAAAAAAGGGCCGGGAGAGTGGAGCAAGGACTCTGCAGTGTGGTGGATTGCAGCCTTATATCCAGTGAGCCTGGACCTGCTCACACTTCCCACAGAGGCTGCAGTCCCCTACCAGGGGCTCACTGCTTATTTGACCCTCACAGTAACTGCTGCTTGTTACACATGAGTGCGTGAAGCAAGAGAAGAAAGGTTACAATTGTGTATGATCTTTTCCATAGAAATACAGAAGGGCTTCTAGAAATATAGGCTCCCCACATCCTCACCGTCCTGACTGTTGGGAAAGAGCAGGGTGGCACTGGGGAGTTTTGGCTCAGACTGCCCTGTGGTCATCAGGTCTACATGGGCTGGTCCTGGAATGGACCCTCGCCCCTCTCCGACTGAGGCTCACAGCCTAGGATGGCTGGGCAGCTGGGCAAATGCATAACAGAGACAAACTGTGGGAGTCCTGTGGTCTCTTATCCCACCGCCCAGCCTGGGGGTTCTGGGTTGCCTGGGGTGAGTGGGTTCCTGGTAGGTAGAGGCAGTACCCTGTCATCATGTTATAACCCACAGTACCCACCAAGAGGTTGACACACCCTAAGTGCTTAGTAGGAGTCTGTTCTATCACTTTCAAGAGGGTTGAACAAGGAGGCTCTCTTTCAATCTTTAAAAAAAAATCTTATTATGTAAAAAATATGAATAGGTAATACATTCTCTTGATTCAAAATCCAAAAGGTACAAAAGGTCACACCTGGGAAAAGTCTCCTACCTTGCTCATGTCCCCATTCCCCAGTGTCCTCCAGGAGACGATCAGTGCACCAGCTTCTGCGTCTGCCAGATTTATTTATACAAGTGATGACTACAAGTAACTGTGTACTTTTATTTTTACTTGGTAGTATATCTTGACAGTTACTCTATACTTGTGCACAAGGCTCTTTCTCTGCCCCTTATTTATTTGACCAGGCCCTTGTGGATGTTTGGGCATGTTGCCCCCCACCCCCACTCCTGGACATGGAGTCTCACAGACTTGGGTCCAGTTCTGCTCTGCCTCCTGTGTATGCTTGCTGGTGGCCTTGGCTACCCATCTGCCCTCTCAGAGCCTCAGTTCTCTCATCTGCATGTGGCAGGTGTCTGTTGCAGCCTATCAACTCAGTAGTTAAGTTATCCTGTAATTTAGCTTCTATAACAATTGAATTTCTGAATCTGAGCACTCATGTTACTGGCACAGTGGAAAACTACATCTCAATCCCTCTTGGTGCCCCTCCCCACCGTTGAGCAGCAGCAGTGGTGGGTTTGTGTGGTGCCAGGGTCTGGGCCAGGGCAAGTGCTTGTGCGGAGGTGCATGTGGTTCCCTGACAGGGTCACCCCCAGTATGCTCAGGCCATGCCCTTCACCCTGAAAGGCCCCTCTCTCTGAGCAGTTCTGACAGTTTCTAAGACTGCGTGCAGAGGACAGAAATTTGCAGAGCTGACATTTCCTTTCTGGAGACAGGAAGATGCTGGTGGCCTGGCACTCTGCTAGGGGCTTAGGCCTCTCAGAACCTCATATTCCCCCCTGGACTGGCCCCAACCAGGGGCCATTTCCTCCTTGTGCCTTTACTTCTGGCCAAAATACTGTACTCATACCCAAGGATTCAGTCTTGTGGAAACCAAAGCCATAGAATTTATAGGCTTCTCCCACTTACTGCCTGTCTCGCCTGTGGCCAGGAGCATGACACTAGTCTGCCCCTGTCAACCTGAGGAAGGCAGGTGCAAAGACAGGGAAGGAAGGAACAGAATAGGCCTGCCAGGCACACAGTGAGCACCATGGAACTGGAGGACCCTGAAATCCCCTCTTCTCACCGTCCACGATTATTTCTGGGTATCATCAACCGGTGGCCTATCTGAGCAGTCTTGCTACAATGTCCAGTATGGCTGGACCACACCACCCTGGGGCTGCTGGGTCAGCACTGCTTCTGGAGTTCCTCAGGTGCTGGAGAAGCCAGGCTCATTTGAGTGGTGATGGTATCTGCCTTCCACGGCGAGGCCCCCCAGGTTATGGGTGCCTTGTGCCCTCCAGTTACATTATCCTGGAACTCCACGTATTTTCTTATGTACTAAAAATCACCTTTTTGAAGTCACGGCACATGGATCTAAGATCAAGTTCGCAGGTATAATTCTACTAAGTTACTAATGTCATCCTGCTCCTCACTATAGACTATTGGGGAATGACCCTGCCTCACAGA